ACACATGAATGAAGCGACATGGAAACCCTTAACGTGGTATCTTGAATCGTCAAGGACAGGATAGGGTAGAATAATTTTTTGCGGGACCTTCCGAGAATCTTGTTTCTAAGGAAAGAAGGGAACAGGCACTAATCAGGGCTCGATTGTAACTAATTATCTGAGGAGAATTCAAGCTACAACTTACAACACTTATAATGTCTGTGGTCAAAAATTATATTTTAAATCTTAATTTCACCCTTCCGAATTTGCATAAGTTTAATGGTAAACATTGCATTGGGGAAAACGAAAATAACGTTATGCACTGGCAACACTGATTCATTTTGGCGGGCACCTTGAAGCGCCATTGACCGTGGTCATGGCCGTGTCCCTGACCGCGCCTCACCATTCGACGCTGGCAGCGCGAGGCCGCTCTGATGTAACTACAATTCCAACGAACCATGTAGAAATACTGATTCATTGTTAACTACTGTGAATTCCTCATGTTTTTGCCCCTTGGACTGTGAATACGTTTATTTGCGACCTTTTGGGACCTAAACTGCTTGACAAATTCGAAGAGCGCCGGGTTTTAAAGTATTTAACTTGCAATTTATAGTTAGATACACACCTGTAATTACAGCTAATAAATACCATTAAAATCATCGATGTGTTATTACATTGCAATCGAGGTCATTTTTATATAGCTATACGTAGTACCTATATGAATAACTAACGCCTTGACTTTGTACTATGCAAATACAATACAATAGAGAAGTTCGCTTGATCATGTAACGCAATTAATTACCGATTGCAAAACAATGCAAGCTATACGTGCTAACAATAAGTATATTTAGTGATGGAACTATTTTTAAATACAGAAAGTCACGACAGCAAAGCGAAATCTAGAATCTAAAGATCTACAACGCGACTAACATTTAGGCCATAGGGACAGTGGACAGTGGACAGAAAGTCATATATATGCCTGTTAAATCCCTTCTCAATCCCAAGCATGGTAAAAAGGGAGCGCTGTAGAAATCACAAAACCGGTACTATGCGCAAATTGGATGAATAAATATAATATAAACGTTATTTTTGAAAACATAAATGTCAACAACTATAGTTAATAGGATTCAGATATCTGATTACTAACCAGTTCATAACATTGAATTCCAAAGCAATATAATTAAATCTTTGACATAGAAAAATAAACAAGAAACATGTTTTCAATGCTGACAATTTTAAAAATACTCGTTGTACTTGCAATTATAAATTAACATTTAGTAAATGTTGCATTTGATATTTCTATTACATGTAATGTAATTATTAAATTAATTAAAATAAAATATTGTTCTGTCTTCAAAACAATCTTCTATTATTGTTCTCTGATAATTACTTAAAGGGTTTCAAATCTTTGAATTGCGAATAATTTATAATCTGTTCGACCTTGATCAGAGAGCGTACGTCAACAAGACCTTTAAAGATGGCACCGTACTTAAAACGGCAAAGATTAACAACTTCATGTTTAGTTTTCACTACTGAAACAGCTATGCAGAAACATATTGCCATCCCGCTTATTCTTTATGAAAAAATGAGATAGCAAATAGCAATTTACGATTCACACATATGTCATACTCTTTAGTTTTATCTATTGTATGGTAGTTAGTTTGAGTCTGCAACTTCAAACAATAGGAGGTAGTTTTTTGCCAATCTCTTTGTTACTGTAGACTTGTTTCTAATTGGTCTAAATCATTAAATATTTTTAAAGAAAATCGCTACTTATGAAATCTCTATACTACATAGGTTTTTACACATGAGGTTAAAGTTGAACATACGTTCAATTTTAGTTACGCAATTAACAGTAACATAAAAGTATTTAACAACAAAAATATGGAAGACGTTCTGTTTCTTACAAGAGAAACATTTTGATGCGTCTATGATATATAGAAAAAAAAACAAAATGTGAATAAAAGCAAAAGACGTACAACAAGAAAAAAATTACAATTTTTTTGTTGCCAAAACATTGAAACATTACCGAGGATGACAAAGTATTTTTTGTATTAGGTAATTTTAAGCCCGGAAATATTGTTCGATTGTATATTTTGTTCCATGAACACGAAGATTTAGAAAATTCTATCATTGATTGAGCGCTAAGTCCAGTTATAAGAATAACTAGCTGTTCCCGTGCGGCTTCACCCGCGTGAAATTATGAAAATTGTATTTTATTGTCAAATTATACATTGCAAATGTCAAAATGATATGACAAACCTTGGCAACCTGATGTTGGCAACTTGTAGTTTAAGGTCCCTTTCCCAGATGGTTTTTTTTCTAATTTATTTACCTTCTAAGTTCAATAGCGTGCAAATATAGCCGTGTTGTAAGTGTAGGGCTTTTTATTAATCATAGAATTATTTAAAAATATACTGTGATTACTGACATCCTACGCCACGAAGTAGTGTGTGTTAACGCTTTATTATATTAGTATAGTTAATATAGATAAATAAAGGTCAACTCTGATTTACTATAAGATTAATATTAGCAAATCATATCTTTGAAAATATATCAAGTTTATATGAGTACAATAATCCGGTTTTTTATAACATTAATTAGCGAGTCAACGAAATATTGATAGCAAGCTCCACCTCAAGTTGATGCAGGGCCGGCGTTAAAGTAGGGCGCGATTGGGCCGCCCTGGGCGACTTAAAGGGGCGTCACAGATCAACGAATTATAGTCTCACACAACGCTGATTTAACCCCCCTTCCTCCCTCCCAAAGTGCTAAAAAGAAGGCACAGAAGTCGCACCTAGAGAGCTGCGCTAAAAGCGGTACAGACAGAACAATATAATTTTTATTATTGAAAGAAAATAGTTTGTGTTATACTAGTAAAACATAAAATTAAGTTTGTAATACTAAGTCACGACTGTTACTGCGCAGTAAATATTCCTAGGTAGTAGAAACGTAGGCGCAACAAAATATTAGAGATACTACTTACTTCATTGTTGTCAACTATTGACAGGACTCCACAATGCTATACAAAGATATGTCCTCTTCTCCCTTTTCGATTTGTATCTTAGGAACAACTCTTTAATTTACGTTTTTTAACTTTTTTTTTTTTATAACATAAGGTGGCAAACGAGCAAGCGGCCACCTGAAACCGCCAAAATGGCGAAGCGACCGCTGCCCATAGACATCCGCAATTGCAGATGCGTTGCCTACCCTTATACGACGGAGGAGGAGACGCACATAAAGAGGATATTTCCCCTTCCTATGCATCTCCTCCGCCGTCAAATCCACTTCCTCTTCCCAACCTCTTTTTATAAGAAAAGGGTGGTAAAGACAAAGGGACTTAAATTAGGCCTCCGGCACCACACTCATCAGACGAAACACGGAATTGCTTCCATTTCACGTCTGTCTTCTGTGTGGTCGTGGTATTACACCGGGCGTGCCGGCCCATTCGTGCTAAGATGTTAAAGCGGGCACTACCACTCTTAAATTCAGAAGAATTTATAGTCAGCCGGATTAATCTTACTAATATTATAATGTGAAAGTTTGGATGCATGGATGTTTGTGAGGGTCTGTAGCCTAAACCGATCTCGATGAATTTTGGCAATGTAGAACATAGTCTGGAAGAACACATAGGCTGCTTGCTTTCTTTTGCATTATTATTATTTCACGCAGACGTAGTCGCGGGCGAAATCTAGTATGTAAATACTTACAAAGATACTTATACGCCTTCGATTTTAAATGTGTAAATTCACTAACCCATTCGCATGGTCTGAATACCTACGTGGATAAATGTTTTTGAAAGCAAAAGTCTGTAAGAGTTTTGTTGATTTAATAATAATAAATAATAAATCATATTTATGTTGCTGACTGTACACAACTTTTAGATAGCCTGTTGCAATCGAAAACCATGCAAAACTCGTAACATTTATATTTCTTACTTCTATTAATCAATAAAACAATTATTGTGTTATTTACCATTTTATTATACATCAATATAATATCAATGCAACATGCAATTATTACGATATACAATTGTAGCCGATTTTACTACACAGATTGTAAAAAAAATGTGTTTAACAACACACTAAAATCTTACAATTAATATGCTTGAATTATACATTCGTTCCACGCCTTTAACACGTTCAGTGCGTAACAGGCCGAAATCGGCCTACCGCGTTACTTAAGCTGGTGCGGACGAAGAAAACTATGTCCTTCTCGATAGTGCAAAAGGATTACCTCAGGTGCATATATTACATTACATAAAATGTATACATTGTGTTTCCACAAAGTTATAGCAATTTAATCTATCCTACTGGTGGGTCTAAAAAGACCTGCTACGCACTGGCGGAAATATTGGAGGCGCATTTAGGCCCGCCGCCGCACCAGATGAAGAATTATTATTTTACTTGCCGCAGTAAATGTGTTAAAACCGCCGATTATATTTTACAAAAATTTCATTCACATTGAGAACATCACAACCTTACTTTACCACTTTATCTACAAGTGTAAAGTCGTATATTAAGTAAGGGTTTATGTACAATTAATTGAGAATTAAGCAACACAGATGAATATATATCTATTAGATCATTACAATTCCGATTAAAAGTTTTGGCCTTATAAAAAACCACCACTAATACAAAATTATTTTGACAAAAATCTATAAATACTAGAATAGAAATAAAAGAAAGCTACAAACTGGACCCGTTAAAAATATTAAAAGAATTTGTCCCCGAACAATGTTGTTATCATTAAACCACAAATTTTACTTAAAAAAGGTCGCCGACAACATAAAAATTACTAAAACACTTAATCTTAACATCAACAACATTTATAATAATGTTTAAATTTTTCTATTTCCAATGCATAGATCACGCAATTTAAATTAAATCTAATGCAACAATAACAATAAGATGAAGAAGTTATACCACAAAACAATTAAAATGAAGTTTATAATAGCAGTCTTTGTCAATATAACCGAATAAGGTCTGTGCAACTGGCAACACTGACTTAATATTAACGCTATGGCTGTATCTACACAAGATAAAAAAAAGCTTATTCTACGTGAATACGATTCAATATTTTAAATCTTTTTGACGATACAGTAATCGAAATTAATAATTCATTGTCGTTCCACCAATCAAAAAAATCGATGTTACATGTAATTCATACGTCTGCTAATAACGTATAATCTATCATCATTCGATTTAAACGTCCCATCGATATGCTTCGAGAAAAATAAGATGCTATGTTTCAAAGTAAATTGTCACAGAGGTTTCTATTTATCATTACGCTGTGATGCAAATATCATATTTTATACAACATAATTATCAGTGTAAAAACCCACAGCAGTCAAAAGTAAAGTAAACTTAACATTTTAGAACTACATAAATTAAATTCGAGATTAGCCAAATAGAAATTAATATTTAAATATAACATGACCGAAAACAATACAAACAAACCAACAACAATCATATATTTTTTTACTAAAATATTGCCAAGAAAACTAGTAACGAATTTGTATTGTATAAAATATACGATACGATTTCATTGAATTATAAAAACATTGTACAGCAACTGTTAGAGGTTCATTATAAGAACTCGAAATTATTTATTAAAGAATCAAAAACTAAACAAAGATGACACCAAAAAGCTACATCAATTAACGCAGTATAATTAATTTTATAAATACTTAATAATTTCCAAGCATAATTTATATACATACGGCACAATAATTACGTCATATTAATTTTGCCAATTCCAATTAAAAACATCTGGCAAGATTTATTTTGTTTTTCACTAATCTGTCCACAGATTATAAACCGATCCCAACACCTTCGTCACAAACACGTTACGTGTTATACTAATACCCTGCTAACATCTTTCTATTGAATCTTCTTCCATTGAATTTTAATCTTTGTGATTGATCTTTGTTTAAAATCAAACAGGTGTCGTAGTCTAGGCAATCGATGTTCTGAAAGAAGCTTCAAGTGAAAAAACAAAGAAGGGAAAAAGTAATTAGCCAGCTATACGTCAAGAATAATTACGCGTCTTTAGTCAATGTATAGTACTAAAACCAGTGTTTCACGTGGCACTAATAAATCCATTTTTCTTTCATTATTAATTTAAAATTATTTCATACAAATAACCAAGTCTACGTTGGTTTTTATAAATCTCTGAATATCTAGATTTGTCTTGATATAGATCTCTCCTCTACACTAGTTACCCTGTGGAGTAAACTGTTACCAGGATATGTCCCTTCTAGACAATCTCTAACCCTTGAACACACCGTATTACACAAAGAAAGTTAATAAATCTAGGACTCCGTAGTAAAAGGTAAAAATCGTTTTTTTTTACCGCTCTCATCCAGTAAACCAGCGCAAACTGCATTCGATGGAATCTTGATTCATAGACGGTTGAAATTCCTATTCACAATCCCAAGAATTTAATTTGGACACCACCCAAGTTAGCCTTTTACATTGTGCATATTATTTACGTGTAAAACTTAGTATAATTTTAAACAAGGAACGGACAAATTGGACGTATAAATAAAAATCCTACCACCTACCAATGAAATGATTTTTCACATGCTAAATTATTAATGGCCAGTAATAAGCAGATTTTTATAGACTATTTATAGTCTGTATTACTGGCCATTTAAAACACACGTCTAAACTTTATAAAAATAAGGGTAATTGTGAAAAATGGCTGACAGAAAACAAAAGTGAACGTTACAATTTTGGGTGTAAACAGAACGTTAAGAAGCGTTGCCATTATGGAATTCCCAAAACGTTTCGTGAATCACGCACAATAGACGACCTACCGCAATAGACGGCGGCGGCGGCGGCAGCGAACTATGGCAGTGATTATCGAGGTAACAGCCGTGTATAGCGACGCCGCGCCGCGCGACGCCTAACGGTGGTGTTTGCACTTACACAGTATACACTATCGTAGAGATAACATACATTTAAATATTAGATCTGGTGATTATTAACACGTTCAGTACCGACGACTCGCCTTGTTACACCACCGATTACTTTAATTTCATCGAAAATTCTTTGCATAGTAAATCATTTGTCTTTCCCTTTCATCTTCAAGCTTTTGATTTCAAATTAAATGGTAAATTAAACTCAATTTTTTTTAAGTTTATGATTCTACATATCGTTGTCTAATACGTCGTTAATCTTTAACGTTATAACTGCGTTTCTAATATTTACGTGTAACCCACAAATGATATAACAAGTGTACATTATGCGTAAAACACTAATAGGGGTTTGGCACAATAATAGGACATTTTGTTATTAGTATAATTTCATTAAAAACATCCCAACAACTGGACCCAACGATAAAATACGAGTATTTCAAAACTGCTCATGTATTTAAGAAAAATATCTGAACGTAAAATAAAGTATTTGTACTCATTCTATCAATACAGATACATATATGAAGTATTAATATATTGCAACTGTGTTTATACTTGTAATCTTATGTACTCAAAGATGTGTGTTGGTGCACATAGTCATTTAGAAAATAATTATATTTAACATAATTAATGTGATGATTGTATGTTTACCCACTCTATGATGGATGGCATATAATTAAAGGTTTTTTTTTATTTGTTCCTTATGAACTCAAAAGTAATGAAATAGATAAAAACTTCTTTTATTAGATATTATTTTAGTTTGCTACTGTGGTTTGACATTAATATTTTTATTGGCATAATATTGCATTTAGAATCAATATTTAATTGAAATTAGGAAACAATTGATAAGATACTGCCTTCTTTGCCAAAACATTAATAGACTTGTGTGTTCAGCATAGGCTTGTTGCAATTGCATAATAAGATGTGTTAGTTGGATGTTGGATAGCAGTTAATTCAATTAAAAAATATAAAATCATAAACATATTTAATTAATTCAACCAATCAATTTAAAAGCCCTTAGGCTAAACCAGTTATAAGCAAAAATAATGCAATAACAAAAATCTGATTGCTAGCAAATTACTAATATCCCCTGAATAATATCTGGATTGTAAAACATTTGATAACCTTGCAACTGGTCGCTTTTAATGTGAATTTATTTTACACAATCTACAGTAGAAAAATACTCTTTAAGTCAGTATTATGTAAATTACTTTAAAAAAAATACCACAGTTTTCAGACTTACATTCCATTATCTGGCAAAATTACACATCCTCATAGTCAAGGATGAATAAGGTGGTTAGTACATTCATGACATCTGCGTTGCAATAAATTGTACAATACAAAGTTGGATTACAAAAATGGACCCTCACATGTGCTAGGGAATAACACCACATTAAATAATTGCTGAGAATTGCACATACATTTAATAATAGTTCATTCAACATCCTATAAAATGTCTAAGCTAGCTAGAATTAGATTAGAGTACTTATAACTTTCAGTTTCCACAACCAAAGCATTCATACAAAAACATTATCGTGCTCATTTATTCTCATAAATCTGAGAAGTTTTCGTATGGATGTTTAAGTAGCAAAAACCAATGGTAATGTACAGCACATACTTTGTAGTTGCCAATACACATAGTTCTAAAAAGGACACATAAGAACACAACATGGAACACCCATTGTCTTTCCTATTTCATATAGTTCAAGGTACACATATTACAATAAAACTTATTTTAAACTTTTCACACTAAACTGTGTCTTTTCAGCACTTCTTCATCATCATGGTCAGATTTTTTCCTTTTTCTCGTATCAAACCTTATACCAGTCTCTTGGACAACTTTCTCGCTATTTTTAATAGCAGATATGATGTTTTCTTTTGATGGTGGAACTAATTTCAACTCATCAATATTCTCACTTGCGGGGGGCTCAACTAGATGCATCACAATGCGCTCCAAGTGCTTTGGATGCTCCACCGGTGCCTCATCAACACATGACACTCTCTCACTTTGATTTTCCATATCTACTATAACAGAATATTTCCTTTTCATTTCCTCCATCATCTTCCGTCCGTATTCTTGGCTGATGACTCGATTGATACAAACAAAACTTTGCACCTTTTTAGTGTTTGGGTCTATTTCTAAAAATCCACGTGTTCTCATATAAATGAAGTGACCAGAACGAGTTATGAGCCTATAATAAGACTCGCCGTATTCTCTGCTTTGATCATACATTTGCCGCAGGACACATATTACCCAACGCACATCATCTTTATGCATAAATATAAAAGCAGATGTGCCAGTAACTTCTTCCGTCATGTAACCAGCGGCAAGTGATATACTTTGGTCACATTCCACTATGCGTCCATCAATCAAATGTCTAGTCTTGTACTCAGAATATGCAGTAGGTGATACCAAACAAACTGGTCTCACATTGGAAAGTACATGTACCATTCCAATAAAAACAAAATCATTTCCGCTAGAGGTAAATGTACGGTTATGCCTAACTCTTTGCCGTCTAATTATTTGTTTATCTTGAATTCCATTAGCTGTTGCTTTGTCTGATCGTCTGTGTGTACCATTAATATGGCACTGTTCATATCTTGGCAGGTCAGACTTTGCTCCGGCTCTCAAAAAACGAATTTTAAAATTATGTTGCTGTTTCAGTAAATTATCATCAAACCCGGATTGCAGTTCTGGAGGGTATATGTGGAACCTCAATATATCCTTGTCCTCATTGTGGATATACTTGTAAATGTCTTGTCCTAATAAGTCTATATGGCAATAACCCAGTTTCTCTTGAATGTTAGGAGATACTATGAAAATTCGACCACGACAAGTTACAGCAATCATAAATCCACCGAAGAGATCAAAACACTTTAGAATGGCTGGGGACCATGTTTCAAGGTGATCGCATTTCACAGTGTTCCCAAAAACATGTTCATTTCGAAGCTTGTCAGCTGCTAGTCTTAGAATGCTTGTTTTGTCTAATTTTCTTTGTGTAGGTATGATATCACTGAGAAGAGAATAAATACACTCAATTTCTGCTTTATATTGGCTCCTGCGGTGTTTCTCAGCTATAATGCGCGATTCCCGGTCGCTTGCCTTTACTAATGGCAGTTCTGGTGAACGAGATTCCGAGGAGGACTCACTGCAATTCGCAGCACCATGCGCGGACGCATGCACAGCGAAATTTTGAGGAGGCGACACATTAGCTGCCATTGCAAATTCTGGACCTACCTGACTAGTTATTGTCGAATGCATTGCAAGTCGAGCATTCGTTGAGCCAGGAGAGGTCATTTTGAATTATAACACAATTTTATTCAACACTATAATGTCCTTGTTTATGTCTCGTTCATTACAATCAGCACATAACTACTTATCAAACTGATCACTGAAGTCAACTTTTCTCCATTGTTCGGATGTTTTTAAAAAACGTTTAGATAGAAAAAAATTCTATTCGTTCATGTACTGATAAATCATTAATATTTCATACTTCATAGTACAAATATTTTAAACATATAAACTCCCTTCCGTAACTACAACACGCACGAAACGGACCGAACCGAACTGTTGTGAAATGTGAAGTTGTCAGATATTGTGAAGGGAACACAGAGCAGTTTTTGCGAAAGGAGCTAACCACAAATCCAAAGATTAAGCATGTATGTAGGACCATGTTTTATAATTGTTTTATTGATAATACTTACTATGACTACATTTGTTTCTATTGTGAGAAAAATGAATTAGCTACTAGGATAATTTTGAATTTCTCTATTTCCCCTTTATTAATTAGAATATTTTATGATCTGTGCTACACATTTGACAATTGCTCTTGTCTTTGTCAGTTGACATTGTCATAATTATATTGCTTGTCATTGTCACATTTAAAAACAAATAAAAAAATTATAACTATAACATTTTTCTTGTTCAGTATTTAAGGATAATGCGTTTGAATTAATTGTTTAGTTTGATTGCCTGTGTACACGAGTGCGATTTTATTTGGTTTTATAGATTTAGTTTATAACAAGTATGTTTTATATAAACCAGTACTAATAAAACGTTCATTATTTATTTTCGTGAGTAAAGATCAAGGAAGGAAAAGTGCGAACCGGTTTTACATCACGATTTGCAGACGAGCTAGTAGTTATTAGTTTGATTGGAACGGAGGACAACATAACATCTAGCTAAACTAATTTATGACCTTTATAAAAATGTTCAAATTATATAGTTTAGTTCTATTCAGTATATTATTTAGTTTTTGTATAGCTGTTGGTGACGGTAAGTGTTTTTATTTACATGATACAAGTGTAGTTCCTAAACTGAGAATAATAACTTGTATAAATTTTAGTTGGTGATAAATGCTTATCAAATGACAATGAGGATGGGATATGCGCACTGATTACAGATTGTCCTGTCGCTATAAAGTAAGTTTTTAAAGGGAAAATACTATTAATTTCGTTTTTTTTAGTCATATATCTGTAGCTACCTTATTTTAAAGTAATTATATAAATATATAATATTTATTGCTTAAGTCTTTTTATTACTGAAATGTTCTGAAAATTTTTGTGTAACATATATTTTACTGTATTCCTAAAAAAATGTTATTTAAAAAGTGTAATTAGAATTTCAAGTACACTTTAAAATGTTTCATTCTGAATGTGTTTTGTTACAGTGAGATACGTCATAGGAATTACCATAAGTACAAAAGATGTGGGTTCCAAGATGACACAGAGATTGTATGTTGCCCACAAAAGCCTGTTGATAGATATGGTAAGTATATTAAATGCTTAAGAATTATTCCAAACTTTACGTATAAATAAAATACATATTACAAAATTATGTATATAGATTTCTAATGGTGAAAGAATCTTTGTAATAGGCCTGGTAGTTTTTGATTTATTTCAATACATACAAAGTTACAATTTACGTTTTATAACATTAGTATAAAATTTTTGTATGTATAGAATCATTAGTAAGCTATGTTATCGCTGAGTAATATAAGCTATATTTTTAAATTACACATAGACAAAAGGATGAGCAACAGCTAGTATAATTTATATTTATTACAAATTTGTATTGTAGTATTATTATTTTATATGTATTGTTTTATACATGTATGTAATAAATGCAAGAAGCAGTTATCTATAATTGTAGTTACATGATGTCATGTGTATCTGGATTTTTAATGCAATAAAGAAATCTATGTTAATTCATGCAATTATGTTGATAAACGAAATTTAAATTCATAAATAGTAAGATCTTTAAATAAATATCATGCGAACTTGAAATTCCTTACTTAATGGTAAAAATTGCGTCAAAATAGTTTATTTCATAGCTTATAAATTACTGACGTCAGATAATAATTAGTCAAGATTGCAACTAGTTAAATATGGCGTAAATGTCGTACGTTGTTTCCGGTTATTTGCTACGTCAACGACGAAAACAACCGGTAAATCGCGGTAAAATTTAAGGAAATCCCTACAAGCAGTACTTCGGAAAAAAAATACTGTCGATGACTCCGACGTGTTTCCCATGACATGGGTATTAACACGCTTATTGTAATTATATGTAGAAAGTGCCACGACATATACATTCTTATTTAAACGAGCAATAAATTTATCTCGGGCCTTTACGTCACAATTTGTTTATGAATATGTATACACTAGCTTCCCGCCCTGGCTTCTAACTGCTTGCTTCTAATGCTGATACAAATACGAGATTATTTGTGACAATCTCTAAAATTATAATATCAGTATGTCTCTACTATATTATACTTCTATATCTTTACTAATGTTATAAAGAGGAAAGATTTGTATTTTTGGATTTTTGTATGCTTTGGAATAAGTCAATAACTACTGGGCCGATTTCAAAAATTCTTTCACCAATAAAAAGCTAAGTTATCAGTGAGTAACCTATACTTTTAACTATATTTTAATTTTACGCGGAAGACGTCGTGAGCAACAACAACCTTCGTCTTGGAATACTCTTAATCTATTAAAAAAAAATATCCAATTCGTAATCGAAAATGGCGTAACTTAATATAAAACATTAGAGCACTTTTTACGCAAATACGTCAATTTAAGTTACGTATTAAGGAAAACTTATTTAGTTACAGGATGTTTAAATACATGGCACTTATATACGATCATATTTGTTTAATAATGCGTTCTATAATTAAGTGTTCTTATTTCTGGCTTTTTACTTTGTTGTTTGACGAAGAACTTTTATTGTAATTATTTTCGAACATCCTATATATGCAAAAAAATGGTAGAGATTTATTTTGTTACAGGAGAAACTAATCCAAAAACAACGAGGATTGCGGATTTAGGTACGTTCATTTATATTCATTCTTATACTCTCTGGTTATAAAAATCATGTATGTCCAACGTATGTCACACACCTTAGATTATGTATCATGATATGTACTATGTAGCTCGGTTATGCAAAACTGTCGTGCAAAACCTAACATGTGTATCCTGCATAACTCAAGAGATATTGCTAATATTATAAATGCGAAAGTTTAGATGGATGGAAGAAATGTTGTTTATTAGAGATTGCTGAATAAAACTGCGGAATCTCGATGAAATTTGGCACAGTGTTGTGAATTGCCTGGAGGAACACATAGGCTATTTTTTATAAATTCCTATCTGACGTAGTTGCAGGCGGAAGTTGTCTATAATACTTAGTTTTATATAAATAAAAATGTTCTATGAATGTGGAATCTGACGCAGATTTTTTAAGTTATAAAAAATATAATTCGTGTTAAACACAGGTAGAAAACGTGTTATTGCTTTCTCTTTTAGAATTACCAACTCACGGATATGTGTCCGTATGCCGATTTTTTACAAATGGAATTCCCTCGTGCAATTTAGCGAATAAGCTCACACTTTTTCCTTCTATCTCTGTTATATTTGTATCGATGGCGTGAATTTTTAATTCATGTAATCAAGTGCGGATCCAGGCTTGACAAAATGTATTTACATATTTTGTCAAACACTTGACTTGACCACGACTATGTGACCACCCCCCCCTCCCGGCACCAAAGCTGGATCCGCCCTTGCATGTAACGTTATAAATTTCAATACATATTGCGCTTGTTTTGTTTGTTCCACTGATGTTATTAATACAATAATTTATTTTGTCAAATACAAATTTAAAACAATTTATTCAATAACAAAGTTCATAACCTTTTATGCATATACTTTAAATTAAAACTTGAACATTTTTGCTTGCTTCGAAAACCCGAAATACTTGTTATACACCGCCTTGTAATTTTTTAATGCACGACCTTTTAAAAATTTGTTTGAATACATAAAAATCTTTTGTATTAGATCATCTATTCACTAGACGTCGCCTGCGGAGCTGTCTGCGTGAAATTAAATTAAAATTTAATTATACTATATTCTACGACTATGCCAAATTTCAGGGAGATCTGTTAAACCTAAAATTCTGACCCTTGAAACTCTTTCTATTGATACAAGCATATTGTGTTGATTCTTGTATATCACCAATCATCTAAAAGTCTAGGTCGACAAACACTCCAAATTTCCAACATTACCCAAGGCCTAAGTAAACTTCCTTTTACGGACTTGTATACTATCCGTTTTCTCTTTCATTTCGAGGTTTATTTCAAAATGTATTACCATCTTATAGTAGGTTATCACTCTGGATTAAGGTAACGTCGGTATTAAATTGTTTTAATGTATCGAATCAAAGATAAGAATACTGGAGTTCTAGCACGAAAGTTTGTGGGAAAGTATACGTAACGGCATCAACATAATTTGTATTAGATTGGCGGAGCGTCTCTTCCGAGCTATACAAGTTTTTCTCGTAAGTTTTCGAGTTAGTCTACCATAAAATCATTTTCATCAATTCATTTCAACATTTATGTAATAGTGCCGAATTTTACTTGATAAGTAACTTGAGATTTTTTTTCAACAGAATGCAAGAAAATAACTGATAACCTGCTCCCGCCATTGGATCTACATATCATTGGAGGAGAGATAGCATCATTAGGGGAATTTCCTCATATGGTAAAATAAATTTTATCTCTTACTAGCTGTTGTTCGCGACTTCGTTCCCGTGAAATTAAAAAATAATAAGTATAGCCTATGTTACTCACAGAAAATACCTTTCTAATGGTGAAAGAATTTTTGAAATCGACCCAGTAGTTTTTGAGTTATTTCAATACGTACAAAAATACAAATCTTTCCATTTTATAACATTAGTCTAGATTGAAATTATTAGCTTTAAAACATCAAATAATTTTTGTTAAAACCACAATATTGATGACCTTTAATTCTAACCGTGACAGATTCCCGTAATCCTCCACTAATGTTTGTTGTAGAATATTGACAAAAGGAATGCGGTTGATAATTCCTGCTAAAGTTTTGTCATATATTAAGCATTCTGACGATTATGACACATAAAGTAGTGAAATAATTTTAGTATTTGTGTTATGTCATTAAAACGTAATTCAAAACTGTGTTTACTAAAGCATTCCATCATTTTTTTACTTTTTCACGTTTAAATGAGGTAGACGAACCCGGAATTGTATTTTAGGAGAACTGGAAATGCGTGAAAGGAAAGAGGACTAAAATTGGGCCTCCGGCGCACATACTCATCAAACAAAACGTGGAATTGCCACCACGTCATGCCTTACTTCAAGCAATTAACATCTTAGCATTTAATAATGCTTATAATTATGCAAGCGGCATTTTACTCCAAATATCTTCTAATTTAGTAATGTGTACTCCAGGTTGCGCTCGGCTACCCTGAAGGCGATGGGTATAACTTCATGTGCGGGGCTACGCTATTGTCTGACAGATTCGTGTTAACTGCCGCTCACTGCGTCGATACTATAGACCAGTAAGTATATACGTACGCCACATATTTAAATTGACACTTTTAGACGGAATGTGTAACAATACGAAAATTCTGAATGTATAAGGAAAAAGGGTGATGGGTGTCGCCAGTCGATGATTTAGGAGGGGGGGTGATGACCGATTGTACATAGCCCCCTAGGGACTCCCATGAGAAGGGTGCTAACACTATAAGACACGACATCTTATGACAACACGGCATACCAATTTTACTACAAAAATGCATTTTATACCCATAATAACACAGAAGCAGAACCGGTTAGCTCTACTAGAGTCCAGGGCGAGAATTGTCGACTGGAGGGAGCTTAAAGGTGATTGTGAGACTGCAATTCGCAGATTTTGTGTCTCCTTTCGGACCAGTGCCCTGGGCAGCTCTAGATACCACATATTAACATTAAATATAAAGTGTTACTCTACTAAAATCCATAGCGATACAACTTGCTCTCGTCCTTACGGAGGGTCGGAACAGTATGTCTTGCTATCAACTGCCATGTTAAATCAAATCCTTAAGCATGAAATCCACAGCAATGTAATTGTGATTGTTTCCTCCAGAATAAAGCCTGCTATAGCGAGGCTGGGGGTTGTTGAACTGGGCAGTGCAGTTCGCAACAACGCCTCCGACGTGGACATCGCGGAGATCATTCTGCATCCTAACTACACCAGGCGGTTCAAATACCACGATCTCTCTCTCATAAGGTATATTCCGTTCTTGTAATTGTAATAACAAATTTCATAAATGTAATAAAATCTTTACACTCAGTGCTACCAAATTATTGTTAATTGTATAATAACAATTCAACATGTAAAGTATGTCATGGTTATCGGATTTTGTTACTTTATCTGACAGTGACGTCATTTGTAAGCTATCTAGTACTAGCTTTTATCCGCGATTTAAAAAAACGAAAGTGAGTAGCCTATGGGTTCTTCAAGACTATCCTCTACGTCAACACCAAATTTCATCGAAATCCGTTGTGCCGTTTGGGCAACAAACTCTAACTTTTATTTGTTATATGGATGGATGTTTATCCATCCATCCATCTATCCATCCATCCATTTAAACTTTCGCATTTATAATGTAAGGTTGATGTTTGTAGATTGTCGCGGCGTGTGGAGTTCTCCTCGGTGCTGAGCCCCGCCTGCCTCTACTCCAGCCTGCAGGACCCCACCGCGGCCCTCACCGTCACCGGCTGGGGGAAGACCAGCACCACAAGTCAGTTTAACACTACTATCATCATATTTTTAGGTGTAATTCATCGGGATTTAAAAAAAGCCTATAATATGCCCGTTCTTGTCAGCTACCTTCCAATGAAAGTCCCGTCAAAATCGGCCCAGCCGTTTCTGACATTGTGCGGAATAAACGGGGCTTGCAGGAAAACGTCGATTTTTCATAACTTAATTCTATTTACATATATTTGAAATCTGTATTTATTTTGTTACTCTTAAACAGGTTCTTACGGTTAACTTATTAAAAAATTCATGAAATATTATACCATATTAATTATAAAACACGACTTAACGGTCCGAAACCGATCGGTGCCTACACCGGAGGTTGTCACGTGAGTTAAGCCGTGTTTTATAATTAATATATGTCCTTATATTGCTAAAACTGATGATGAACTATGAAATTGGCTATAGAATGTAATACAATTGTAGGAAACGTCCGCAGCAACATGTTGCTAAAAGCGAAGGTGTCAATCGTTGCGAGGGAGAAGTGCAACGAGAATTACTCGATGTGGCGCAAACTGCCCGACGGTATCGCCGAGGAGCAACTCTGCGCCGGCGACCCGCAGGGACTGCGCGACACCTGCCAGGTGAACTGTCTCATCATCATCATCATCATCATTGTCATCACCTTCCCTAAGTCCTCTAAAATAGTATGCTACAAAACTTATCTACCCTTAAAAATTTTAAAAACTCAAGCATACAAATAAAGCAGCTACAAATTCACAAGACACAAGGTTCCAATATCCTTTACTAGTTGTCGCCCACGACTTCGTCTGCGCTGAATAAAAAAAAGTAGTGGCCTCTTTGTTCTTCTAGACTATTTTCTACCTCCATGCTAAATTTCATCGAGTTCTGGTCAATAGTTTAGCCAACGAACTTTCACATACATCCATCCATCTAATTATGAATGTAAGAGTTTAGATGTACGTTTGTTAGAGTTGGTAGTCTAAACTGCTGAACCGAACTGGATGAAATATTGCATTGAGGTAGAAGGTAGTCTGGGAGAACCATCGCCTGCTTTTTTTTTTAAAAAATTACATGCGCACGAAGTCGCAGGCGAAAGCGTGTAACCTGTTTTAAAGGATTTTCAGGTTATAATTTGAAACATGTATAATGTAGTGTCTTGTGTGGTCAGGGCGACTCCGGCGGGCCGCTGCAGGCGCTGACGGCGGCGGACGGCCACTTCCGCGTGGTGGGCGTGACGTCATTCGGGCGCGGCTGCGGCTCGCCCGTGCCCGGCGTCTACACGCGCCTCGCGCGCTACCTCGACTGGATAGAGAGCATCGTCTGGCCGCAAGACTAGTACAACGCGAACTGACGCCGCCACTACCAACATAACAACGTGCTGTCCTTAATACCAACGTAACATGAAGTGACGATTCTGATAACGTAACACGACTCCCGGTTCACACTTGGCGAGTACAGTTGAACTGTAGCGCACGAAAACTGGAATGGCATTCAATTAGCATTATGTGAACGCGAACAGGCGCCAGTGAAATCATACAATACTTTCTGAATGTGAACGCCAGTGAATATATATACATACAATCCTTGCCCTACTGACCAACTGTACTGGTCAGGTCTGAACCGCGCATGAAGTGCCATTGTTGATGTTAACCACAATAAGTGCCGTCATTGATACCAACATGATATGATGTGACTTCACTTATACCAACATAACATTCACATTATCGTGTATAATTCCACAAGGATCTTGTGGCAGCTTTTTGACATTCGGGCATTTAGGGTAACCAGCAAGGTAATACCACATTTAAGGGAACATTTTCACTTTTGAATACAAAAACGCAAATTGTAAAGGACGAAGCACTGCTAGTTTCCCCCACTGTACCTCAGTTTACGAGCGCCGGTGGTGTGCAACACTCTGCCTGGGTAGCACTTTGAGGTGTGTTTACGCGAATCGCGGTATATGTTTAACTTGTTACCGACAGCGAGGCATCCAAAAATACAAAACACTTTTTATCAAACTAACACACCTTTATTCAAAACTTATTTACACAAATATATACAAAAAAACTCAAAACTATCTGGATCACATCTTGACTTCTTATTCTTCTTTTTCTATATATTTTCTTTAACCAACGATAAATGCCTTGGTGGCCAGTATGCAACCTCTTTGGCTGTACACATACTGCTTGTCAGCCAAAGAGGTTGTATTTTGCACTCAACAGTATACACACTAAAGATCGATTGATGTGAATTGTATATTTTTCTTCTTATTTACCAAGAGCGGAGATGCAAGTTTTACAAATAAGCCGTTTTCTTATCTACACTTGTAGGGTGACGAAATAACACTATTACAGTCACTTTCCCCAGTTATAGTTCTTTATTTCAAGCCCAGCTTATAAAGTTGTTAGTTTCTACTACGTTAGTAACACTGCATTTTATAATAATGTAATGTGGCGTCGATCGCGGGTCACTAAATCCGCGCAAGTACGGAGTCCCCAAGGCTACTGTCACACCTAAAGAGTGCAACTCATTTCATAGGTTGGTAGACCCCGTAGCTTAGATATAGCTTAGCTATTCTAGAATGATAGACTTGATAGACAATTTCCCCTTTTCTCTCCGGCCTCAGTTGCCTTTTAGCTTTACCCTAAAGAGCCACGCGCATACGATACGTTTTCCTTATTTTAACTTGGCTCTTCGTCCCCCTTTTTCCTACAAGACCATCCCTTTGTTTTTTTTTATTTTAAGCTCGCTAGCTTGACCACGATCCCATCTGAAGAAAGTTATGCAGTCGAAAGATGGTACACTTTTTTTGAAGGTCCCCACGTCTTATTTGGACGGAAAAATTGACGCCGGAAACTTGTTCCAATCCCTTGCAGTACGCACAAGGAGTGATGATTCAAACTTTTTCGCTCGAACTCACGGTACATCAACTACAAAAGGATGGTATTCGGTCGTATGCCTTTTTTTTCCGAAGGGGAATGCATTAAGCATACTCCGTCCCTCGGGGCAGACACGAGATTTATGTGGGACTCTCCCCACAGAGTGGAGGCATACCTCACTAAACCCCTCCGTTCACTCCTGGCCATTGTGTGGGCGCCACGGGATCGCTTTCGCTATCCGGCCATAACTTAAACTTGTTGCCTTTTAACTTTACAGATTCCCTGAAAATGCTATCAACTGTTCAGGTTCTCTTTCAGTTAATAATTTAGGAACCCGTTCAGTTTCCCAGAAGGATGAAATGTTTTCTCTAATGTTAGATTTACATTTAATACATGCAAGTGATACAACCTGCTTTTGAATTTATTGTGAAATTAAAGGTGCTGCAATTACGTGGCCGTATTTGGTGCTTAGGATGTAGGGTTGTGACGATAATATAATTATTTCAACAGAAGTCAGCCTACTTCTGTTGAACTAATTATATTATAGAAAAAAAACGATGTTACTTCGATTAATAAACATTTATTTGTAAAAATAAAAAAAAACAAGTCATTCGTGACAAAACATTTTGACAGAGAATATTTTATCCAAAACTTTTTACCCGTGACTCAAAGCGCGGCGTTTAAGTTACTTATTTCCTATGCTTATAATTAATACGATATAAAATATTTAAATTTATTACGCATTTTCTTTTTTTGTGCTTATTATCCGGACATCGGTACACAAGCTGCGACTTTACCCAAAACGGTACCCTTGGGGGCCTCTTTTGTGAAACATTTGGCATGGCCGCGAATCGGATCGCCATCCGCAATCCACAGGCTATGATAATTCTCTTTATTTTAACAACGGCGCGTCCTTTTTTCCCTTTTCCTCAATGGACCCCGCTAGTCGTTGAACAAGGCGGTATGAACCGACGTTGCACCCTAAGCTTTCTCTTAACGGGATGCAACATGTGCGTCTATTTTAAAATTTTTCCTATAGCGAATGTTTATAAAATCGAATCTAAACTGGTGACTTACGTCGCCAACAGTTCTGACTTCGTTTGTTCTAAATAATCAAGTCCTTGCTCAATACTATTAAATGGTATTAAAATGTCGTCTATGTATACCAACAAGAATTTTATTTATTGTACAACTTTAGATATTGCTTGCTTGATGCCGAATGCAAGTTTTTATTCATGTTTTGCAATATTTTAAAATAAAATAGCGAGTGCGTGTCGAGCATTTCCGACATACTTTATTAAAATATTGTCCATTTTATTCATAACCTTTAACATAAAGTGGCCATTTACTTATTTTGATATAATGTCAACAAATTCGTAATGTCCATCTGGTGTTGCAAAAGCAGAATACTTGATAGACTTAACTATTATAGGTATCTGATAAAAGCCATTCATACCTGAGAATATATATGGTATTCTATGAGAGGAAGTGGATATTTGTCACTTTTAATTTTTTTTTAATTTCTGTGTATTCTACACACATTCTTTCACTTCTATCACTTTTTTTACCAAAATAATAGGGCTAGCAAAAGGAGAACCGCTTTCTCTAACTATAGCTTGTGTTATTAAATTTTGATCCGGCTCGAAGGATCAATTGTTTGGTTTAAATGTTTTATTGGGCAATATTACAGAGTTTATAATAATATAAGATAAGTATGCGCGTTGTATGATCACATGGCAAGTGTTGTCAGCGTTTCCCGCGCGAACAATTTCAGGACCTATTTCTCTCTATTTTGGGGCGAATCTGTATGGTCGAAAGTAAACATCGTCTGTTTTTAATTTGATCTATTACTCCCCCGTTTAGACAATACCAATAGTTTCTGAAACAAAAGGAAATTTTTGACCAATGGTTCTTAGTAAAATCTATGTGGAATGCCCCGTGGTTCGAACTATGCGTTATTCAGAAATATTTCAAGAAACTGTTTGTATCCGACAAACAGTATACACAAACATTTTTAAGTCTGTTGTGACTTAATAATCATTTGAAATTTCAAAACTAACATATGCATTGGTCCCCTTGGGAGTTTTGCAATTACTTGAAGTAACAAATGGTAGCACTTTCCCGTTGGAACAGACACACGATGATTTATATTTTCAAATGTAATTAAGCGTCTGCTCTGCTTCTCCGCGATAAAAAATTTCCCATTTTAAAATGACCTATCTTACACTACTTTTAATTACTTTCGACGTGTTTTTTTTCATGGAATAACATTAAAAACACACAAAATGTGTAAACTGACAAAATGTCTGACTATAGAGGAACGGTAATGAAAGATCTCCACGTCTTGGGAGAGAATTGTCTTAGGAACGGCTAACGGATACGGGTCTAAAGGAAACGATAAGATTCAGAATAGTTCCCCGAAGCGGATACTTGCGGGACTTACCTGATGGTTTTGCGCTAGGCGTATCTGTTGGTCTTGTTGCTTTGTTCTGCCATCTTCCAAGCCTTGCATGCGTGTGTGTCAATGCTCGTTTTGTTGCACTTTCTGTGTTCTTTTGTTAGTTCACTGATATATGACTGCTTTCTTCGAAGCGCCGCATGCGTGTGGTAACGCTCCACTCAAAATTCGAATTCCGAACCAAAGCGTTCCAAAAGACGAAGAAACCGCGTAGGATGAAAAAGGGTCGAAGGAGGTTGGTTAAGATGGAAAATATAAGAAGCAGGAATTGTGCGGCAGGAATGGGCAATGTTAGGTCACAAAATTGCCGAATGCCAAAAGATCCTTGTGGATTTATATATCATGTTATGTTGGTATAGGGCTATTACACAGACTTACCAGTGAAAAATAATGTTTGTACTCTAGATAAATATTAAATCTATAATTTATAAGGATTTCCATATTTATAATACAAATAGCAATAAGAATATAGTATGAATTAAAAGAAAACTGTTAATATTTATTTAGTAATAAGTCAAAATAAATAAATACGTGATATAGACTCTTTTTGTTACAAGACTTTATGGTAATGTAATATGTACAAGGCAAGAAGATCTTTAACGTCGTAATATTAACAAAACATAGAACAATATATTTCACTAACATATTTTTTTGTTGATTTTTAACAGAAAAAGTCTTTACTAATTTACATATCTGTGTAAATAATTTCTGCGAAGCGTATCGAAGACAGATATACATAAAATGATTCCCTGTTTGAATAAAAAAAAACTTTTTTGAACAACTGTTTCTGTGCTATTCTGACAACTAAAGCTAAAATGATACGTCACCACAAATATTTAGAAATAATACCTTTACAGAATTTGTAATGGTTTAGAAAACATATTTGTTGAATATAAATTAACAGCAATACAAAAAGGCATTCACTTTAAAACGACTGTGGAGTTGTCAATTTCATATCTATCTCTCTCTGCCTTGTGTTCTTGTCGTTATGTCTCGTTCTTCCCGCAAAAATTAGAGGGACCGCAAAAATAAGGCAACCATTTTAGTAATTTTCGTGAATCATTAATTTATCTATTATATCGTTTTTATGTGGGACGTCATCCATCACATATTTTTAACAGCTAGTATAAACGATAATAATGACTGTCAGTATTTAACTTTGACAGTAATATAGTTGCAATAATGCTCACCGGGTCAAATAAGTTTATCTGACTATAGGTTATCATTAATAACAACAAAGGAACGTTGTCGTAACGCGTAAATACCAGTTGTAACAGATTTAAGTTTTATTATAGGTGTGGGAAAACCAAAAGGTAGAAATGAAACTGGGCAAAATTAATCATTACACAATAGGCGTCGCTAGGGGGTCGCTAGAAGCTTTCATAACATGGACAATCGAAAAATACTAAATAAATATAAAAATGATTCTACTATGTTAATGGTAGCTGCTCCTACTTGAGCTATCCTAGATCATCAGATAGCGACGCATGTGGATTGGAATAGAATTAAAAAAAAAGAACAGTTAAAAAGCTAACTAATGCATAGATTAATAGTTCGATAATTTAATACTAGCTGTAGACCGTGATTTCGGATTTATAATATTAGTATGAGTATAATAGTTTTATGTATTGGAGGTTTAGGACCTGTCCCACTACTGAGAGGCTCAGATACATAGCTTAAAAATGACGTCACTGTCAGATAAGGGCACAAATCCGAGATTTCTATCACATATTTTATACGTTGGATTGTTATCCGACAATTTACAATTTGGTGGGACAGGTCCTTATAGTTTGTTTAGTGATAAGAGGCAACGATATGAAGATACGCTATGAACAGGAAAAATCAGGGATTGTATATCACACGCAACGTTTTTTCCCAGTTTTGCGTTACAAGATAAGAGAACAGAGTATAGCAACTGCCTACGTAATAACCGCTATTAACCGTGCAGACGATGTGCCAAATGGTCGTTTATTATTTAATCTAAAAATGGTTATAAAAAATCTTTAAAAGTTTTCGTGTTAAAAAATTAGAACAAGTTTACAAACTTGAACTATAAGTGAAAATTAAAATGTGGTTCCATGGTTTAATATGTTTGTGTTTATTTTTTAAATTACACTATGCTGATGAAGGTGAGTTTCTTTTTATTTAAAATTGTTAGCATCATCTTTGATTTTCGTATCAGAACGCAATATAGTTATAGAAGTATGTTTGGTTTTAAAAAGAAAATAAATTATTTAAAACATCGATTCCACTGTATGTAGTTTCACAGATTCGTTAATTTCTGACCCCAAATTGTTCATACAGAGATGAAGCCACTCGTAATCAATTTTATAACTTAACCTTTTAAGTTCATCGACTTTACTTATGGATTTTCTACCTCGCTTGGTATTTCTTTATAAACAAAATTTAAAGGAAATAAAACTAAAAAAACAAGCGTTTGTATAAGGGATATTCTAATGATTTACATTAAGAGTTACATTGTGAAATTTTCTTTAATATTCCATCACAATCTATTTATATATTGTATCTTTACATATAAAAATTACCATCTAGAACCAAAGTACTCGAAAGGTGTAACGAGCCGTGACTTTGGAGTTGTGTGGTCTATTAACTCTGAATTTATATGACCAGATCCTACCTAATTACTATTAAAAAACTACTCAAAAAGTTTTAAACAAGCCCAAACTGGTTGAGGGTTTGTTGTTTTATTACGAAATTCATATTCGAGCTCCATCATTAAATCAGCATAATGTTATATTGCATCGTCGTGATTTACACTTGTATGCAAGTTTCAGCTCAATCGATAACTGAGAAGTGGATCAAAATTAAATTCCCAGATATGCTGACCAATACGGGAGGTGAATGTAAAATATTGTAAAAATTTAAGGAAAGCTTTTAATATTTTCATACAGTCTCGGCTAAAGGTCATTCAAGAAGCAAGTCTGCAGTTCTAGTATAAAAGTCCAGAGGCTTCGATGACAGTTTTCGTTCTCGTCTCTAGGGCTAATATTTGAATAATGTAATAGATTATTTTCCAGTTGGCGACAAGTGTATAGTCAATAATCAAGAAGCAACTTGTATGTTAATTTCTAATTGCGTCGCTGCTTTGAGGTTAGTAAGTGATGTTATACGAAATCAATAAAAATATTAAATTTCATATTAAGTATACATACTCGTGGTAATTACTATTTCATAGTAATATTGAAGTGTTAACAGTTTAGATAAAACACCTTTTGTGTTTTGGATCAGAAACGTACCGGCATATAATACCTGAAGTTTCATACAGAAATATTTAAAAAATATGATTCCAGTGATATGTACGTTTTATTAAAAATAAAAAATTGTTTTCCAATAATTCTATGGTCGTTAAATTAAAAAAAAAACTAGCAGTAGTTTTATCACAGCCTAAACAATAATTTCCCTAAATTCATGTATCCATTTTAGAGATGTCCGCAATACTGAACGCCATCTCCTGCCGAGGTGCGGCTTCAAAAATGATGCTGAAATCGTCTGTTGTCCTCCTGAACCAGCGCCCGAGAGTGAGTTTTGATAATTTATATTGAGTAAAAATTAATTTGTAGTCAGCATTTGTGTGTAGTAATCGTAGTTATAATAATATTTGTATATGATATAACCATTTGTTACACACAGATTGTCTAAATGATGCATAGTAGTAAGTGTCTAAGAAATATAAATATTCCAACCCTACGTACACGAAAAGACAAGATGCCCTCTTTGATATATTTCGCCAATTGGTCCATACTTCTTACTAATATTATAAATGCGAAAGTTTAAATATATGGATGGATGTTTGTCAGAGTTTGTAGCCTAAATGGCTGAACGGATCTCGATGAAATTTGGTATAGACGTAGAGCATAGTCTGCAAGAACACATATGCTACTTACTTTTGTTTTTTTAATTTCACGCGGACGAAGTCGCGAGCAACAGCTAGTATATGGTATAATAAAAGGTCAAGAATTATAATTGTTCTTTTTTTTTTCAGAGATTCCGTATGTGTTGTCCTCAAGACGTGAGTATGATATTTATAAAATGTCACCCATGCTTTTGTTTTGCTAACTTTTTCGTCGTCGGCGACTTCGCTTTCTTTGTCTACTAGCATTGACTGTCTACTGGACTGTGCAACAACGTGCTTTTTACCATATTAGCTAGCTCTTTAATCACCATAGATGTAGTTTTAACTTTAAAAATCTCATACGTAGCACATTTATGTTTCCAGTTGGTGTTAAAACATTAAGACCGGCCGATAAAGGTACGTGGTTATTAGTTAGTCGTTTAGTACATTCCATGCGTTGCTGTATCATAGTTACGGGGAGACAATAAATAAATGCATATTAGAGACATGACATAGGCATCGTCAGGTGGGCGTCGCCAAGTCGTCAGCTGTTTCCGACACTAAGGGCCTGTCCCACCACTGGCTCAGATAGCTTAAAAATGACGTCATCGTCAGTTAAGGTAACAAAATCCGATATTCACATATTTTTCACGTTGGATTGTTATCAGACAATTTACAATTAGGTGGGACAGTTCCTAAGTCTAGATCATCGATTGACAGCCCAAATGACTCATGTGTTTCTAATCCATGGGAAGCTGGAAATGAGCACCACTACGAAAAGTGTATTAGGACATTGCCACACCACCCAAAAAATATAATACAATAATCAATTGTTCATTGACATTTAGAGCAGGCCCACACCTTTGACTAAACTATAGCACAACTGTTGCACAATTGTCGATTCTTTCGCAGCCAATTCAACTGTTTACTTGCACAACTAAAACTCGGGTAGTGTGCGCACCTCCATATAAGCTAATAGGAATAAAAGCGAGATTAAACAGTTGTGCGATAGTTTAGTTGCAGGTATCCTATCATTGTTTACAGCTTGTAAAAAAATAACTGAAACTTACGACCCGCCGTCTGCAATATACATTATTGGCGGCACATCTGCCGAGCAAGGGGAATTCCCGCATATGGTAAATATTTTATATATATCTATATTAATATTATTAAGAGGAAAGGCTTGATTTTTTGTTTGAATTTAATAGGCTCCATAACTACTGAATGGATATTAAGTTGTTTCTAACTTTTAAAGCTACATTGTTGCTGAGCAACGAAGGTCATAATAAACGGGACTTCAATGGGAAGTCTATGGATATGAGTGAAATATGAGATATATATTCTTTGCCACCCACACGAAGATAGGGCGAATCGCTATTTGGCTGTAAACAATTCCCTGTCATGTTTAGATTGCAATTGATTTCCTTTTTTAATGTTCCGTACGTACAATTATAAAATTCACTAAAACCCCAGAAGTCAAGTAAAGTGATTTAAAAGAAGTTCAAATGTTAAGAATATCATATTTCGTACTAATATTATAATTGCCAAATTTTAGATGAATGTTTGTTAGAGAATGTAGCATAAACGGCTGAACGAATATCAATTAAATGTGGTTGAGACGTAGAGGATAATGTTGAAGAGCGCATTGATAACTCACTTTTTTAATTCCACGCTGAGGGAGTCGTAGGCGAAAGCTAGTAATTGCATATTTGTTCCTAGGTGGCGTTGGGGTACCTTATTTCGAGTAGAGACGAGTACTCCTTCTTATGCGGTGGTTCCCTGATAACGACTCAATACGTATTAACAGCAGTACACTGCGTTCACACTACAGAGCGGTTAGCATACAGCAGTTCGTCGACATCTTCGGTCTGATATGTTATTGTTACGGAATAAATGATATTTCAGGATAGAACCGACGATGGTGCGAGTGGGTGTTCTGAACATAACTGGATCCAAGTGGAACGATGAAACGGATTACGAAATTGATATTATTCACGTACATCCAAACTACAAGAGATCCCGAAAGTATCACGATCTGGCTTTAATTAGGTATCTATGTTTATTAGACTTTCACTAACGGCATCTAATAAAACAGTCGCTAACAACAGTGGTACACGCCGGTAATAGCTCTACTATGAAATATGACCACCCAAATAAAGACGTGAAGTGGAAGGTTTTATATTTTTAGCTAACCTTTAAAGTGGTAAGAAATTGGTTGACAGGTATCTTGTAAGATAATACAGGGTCTGTTTAGATTGATATCCCCGATCCGTACGTCGCGCAATGCATTTCCCGCCTGCTTGTACACATCCGCCGTAGAGCCCACAACATCACTTTATATTACCGGCTGGGGAAAGACCGATGTAACAAGTAAGTTTTTTGGCATAAATTATGATTATTATATATTTATTATACTATTAAACTAAGGGGCTAATTAAATTGAAAAAAAAAATAATGAGGAAAGGAACCTTAACTAACTAACTTAACTTAACTACAAGTTGCCAACGTCAAGGAAGCAAGATTGCCTTGGTACGGTAACTGGTATCTAATGTCTAAAGGCCTTCGTTGTTATTTGTGCATTTTAATTTTGACACTTGCAATTGAGAATTTCGCAAATGTAAACGGATAGGAACAGCTAGTAGTAGTAACTAATATAATAATATATTTATAATTTACTAACAAGGGTCCACTAGTCTAGAACGTGCTTTGATATCGTAAGGTACTAAACGAGCAGATGGCCATTTGAATTCGCTGTAATAGCGGTGCCCTTACCCGCACTCTGCAATTACAGATACGTTGCCTACTTTTAATCGGCAGAGGCGACTCACAGAAAGAGCATATTTTTCTTACGTCAGCGTCCTCTACTTCGTCAAAATCTTTTCCCTTCACATATTTTCCTTATAACAACATGTTGGGAAGGGAATGAGGACTAAAATCAGGCCTCCAGCACTCACCCTCATCAGACCGTTCGCGAAATTGGTTCTACTTCACGCCTGTCTTCTGTGTGGTCGTGGTAATGCAGGGGACGACTGGCACATTCATGCAACAGTAGTTGTTGCTGGTTTTTACGACTGTCGACGTTACATTACATTTTTTATCTTTAACAGAGTTTCAGATGGGCAGTATCTATAAAGTGCATAAGTTTTACGGCTTTGGAGAAGGCTTATATCCAGCAGTCGACTGTGATGATGCTTATGGCCTAAACCTAACTAATGTGCAGAAAAATAAATATATTGCAATAACCTCTCCATTTCTTTATTTGAAGGTGTTGACGAACAAACACAAACATCAATGTACTGGCATTTTTCAGTGTTATTCATATTTATTTTTTAATTTAGGGGCAGGCACAAGCAATATTTTACTAAAGGCTATGATACAAATAGTGTCCCGTGAATATTGCAATACTTTGTACACGACAACGCGTAAATTACCTAAAGGCATAATGGACGGCCAGATATGTGCCGGAGACTCTAAAGGCGTCACTGACAGTTGTCAGGTAAATATAAATATTTTATCCAGTCGGTATAACGTTGTTAAAGTTGCTATCCATGCTACTCGTTGTATCAGCCAAAAAATATATGTAAAACCTATGTTAATGTCAAAGCCTTTTAAAAATAAATAGACGAGGCATACAGAACATTTTTTTTTACCGGTACTTTTTCTGAATGGTACTTATCAATTGTCGAATTTAGTACGCCAACTTGTGTGCTTGTATTGATATGGAATAAAACATTTTACAAAATTATTATCTCCATCTTTTGTTATAAAATAAAATGTCAAATTGTTATTATATAGTTATAAGTTATTAATTTATTACACTATGTTAAATGTAATATAAAAAGAGTTGGTTACTCTTAAAACCAATCACACTACTTATTTAAGTCACATTTAGACAGGCAACACTAATTCAACTCTGCTGGGGTTGTACTATTCCATCAAATATTTTTTATCAACATAACAACCTCAATTCTGTTTGTAATATCAGCACAGTTTACTATTATTCTTAAATATTACTATACTCAGGGTGATTCAGGCGGCCCTCTACAAGGACTAACTGATACGGACGGCCATTACCGTATCGTTGGTGTAACTTCATTTGGCAGCGGATGTGGTTCTGCTGTACCCGGCGTCTATACCCGAATCTACAAGTACCTCCACTGGATTGAGAGCCTCGTTTGGCCATCCGATTTAGCACGAATAACTAGTACCTTGTAGTTACCTTGAAATATATAAATATCAAACAATTCATCGTTTTACTTACACCTCAATGATAAAATGTTTTCTGTTTGAATTTATGTAAGACAAGACGAGTCGCCCTCAAACTTCTTTATCAATCCTGCGTATATCAGCTATCTACCAATCTAAGACCCGTCAAAATCTGTCCACCCGTTCCAAAGATAGTGAGTTAATTACATCCTAAAAAGTGTATATTCCACTAATCTGACAATTTGATAGTGGCGTAAAAAAAGGGGAGGGCAACAAAGTTGTAAAAAAAAGTCATCTCGACATTTTCGAGCGTAGCTAAATTTTTTTATTTTGAAGGAAATAATTCAAGAATAATGAAAAATATATAATATGACAATTTCCGCAAGCAGAAATAACAAAAAATCGTCGATAAAGTTAAATGCGTGCAGCTGCGTGATGCCTACATTTCCTTTCCGCGTTTCTATTCCTCTCTCGCTCTTTCTCTATGTATTACTCTCTCACTCCGTCTCCACTCTGGTTTCTGCTGCCATGACGCCATCAAAGCTGATCATAAAGACTTGTTCTTGGCATACTGTTTACAACGTGTTTCCGACATTTAAGTTTTTTGCTATCTTAATAACTTAAAAAAAAAACATATAGACGAATTGAGTACCTCCTTCTTTTGGGAAGTCGGTAAAAAAACTAATCCGCCTTTGAGCTTGAAAAACCACGTCGATCGCCACGAAGCTGGTCAAAATCGGTTGATTCGTTCGAGAGATCTCGTGAACGAAAGATATCGAAAAAGTGTTTTTTTCGGGATTACTCAGAAATTTGTGGTTCGATCAATTAAAATTGCAAAATTACTTATGAATAGTACGTCGAATGGCGCCAACCGCATGAAAATTGGTTAATCCATTCAAAAGTTTTTGCGAGACTTTCGAGATGGGAGAGCTCAAATGCATAGAAATATTATTTCTTTGTACTCAGCGTGCTCAAAATATCACATGAATTATATTTTGAGCTCAAAAATGTTATAATTACAATTTTAAGCGCCTAGGGAGGGAATTAGCGGGAACTTGTAGGAATGGCCTTTAAGGTAAACCGTTTTTCTGTTAATTTTTTTGTCAGATCATGCGAATTCCTCTAGATAATCGTCAGATTATGAGACAGTACGTTTAGAACATAAAGATGAACCATATATATCTTAATCTGACGCGCTTGAGTATTTCAAAATGGCGATTTTTTTGCACATTATAAAAATGGCCGCGAGTTTGCGTCCCATCGAAATCGTCAGATTAGTGAATGGGAACTTTTTTTGGTGCACTTAACACTTTCTTAGAAAATCTGACGCGCTCGGTTAATTTTTTTTTTCATTTTCAACCCTTAAAACAAACACCCGCATCATGCAAACGATCAGATTAACATACGTACATATTTAAAATACGTAGGGCATTGATGCTATCAATATCTGACGCGTTCGAGGATGTCCATGCAACAATTTTTTTCCAGATTTAAAAATCTATGGCCGCTTCCCCCACCAATGTAAAGGTATATATCATGTAACATTTTTTTCTTCTTATCATCTAAGCTTTGCATCCCAATAGGTCTCTACGACGCTCGAGTAAATCCCCATTTAGCATCGTAGGCTCCCCTACTATCTCATGGTCGTCAATGGTCATTCCTTGATAACAAAAAGAACAATACATAGACAATGGAAGTTCGAGCATTTTCTAATATGGCCGCTATATTTTAGGTTATTCCCGATTACTGCGGCTCAGTGTTGTCATTCGAAAAAAGATTTTCTTTTCCATAAATATAGGTAAATTATTACATGATTGTTTTTAAATTAAAAACGTTTAAACACTAATCGTTACTGTTTTGATTAAAATAGAATATCAAATAAAAGATTGAGTATTTTTTTTGTTTCAAAAACTATTAACGAAATTTTGGTACTCTTTCCTTCCATTTGTTATACAATTAAATAAAGTAAAAGACATCGTTTAAAGAGTGCTTTCTTAGTCAGAAAGCACTCTTTAAAGCAATAAGAAATGTATTTTTCATAGGAAAAAACTACTGGCTATTAGTGCTGTAGCGTTGGGCTATTGTAATATTTTATGAATTCAAATGAATTTTCTACTGATATATTTAACACTTTTTTTAATTATTTCAATTGGAGATTTAAGCAAAGTAATGTTCAACAATGCCAATTTAACACTTGGCGTGCGGGGAATACTTGCGCTGAATGTGGAGCGGGTGTTGTATTAGTAAATCGAGGGGATGTTTCGTTCATCAAATATATCGCAGCGAATCGAAAACTATATTATTTACAACGAATGTTCTAAATTTTTACGGGACCCACGCTCCAGCGAGAGACTGCAAATACGTAAAAAACGTTCCCCGCATGCCAAATGTTAAGCTATAACGAAATTATAAGTTTGCAATTGTTTTTATGCTATAAGAATTTTATTTCTACGAGGGAGTTAAATAAACAAAACCGGATTGCTTAATTACATCCTTTAATATTAAGATAACATCTGTTCTCATCCTTCTTACAATAAACCTGGAGAAAATTTAATATATATATATTGTAACACTGGAGCCGACTGTCTCAAATAGAATATTGACTATTGCATTCGAATCCCAGAAAATATTTATTTTTCGACTCGGATGACGAAGTCAAGTGAAAATATAATTAATTATTATTGTGTAGTGACTCGTAGAGTTAACTGTTTTTTGAGATTTCTGGTAATAACAGGATAATATTGCAAAAAGTGGACACCAGCTGGTCAGTATCATTTTCATTTTTAAAAGGATGTGTATGTTTTTTCAATGTTATTTCGTCTCGGGGTATAATTTTAGAGTTGTCTATAGTATTAAAGGTTTTATAATACAATAATTTACCTTCATGTGATTGCGCGATTTTCGTTATTCAGTTGGTACATTTATTTTTTTGTTAAAGAGGTTTTAAAAAATCTACTGCTAATTGAAGCTCTTAAAAGTCTAGCTTCCGAGAGTCTCAGTTATACCCAATCTATACGTATGCATGTGGCTATTGTAAAGTAAAATAATGGTTATATTTTGAGGAAAATTGTTACACAGGTTGAAATGTGCCCAATAGAAGGAACTTCAAATTATTTGAATTTTCTAACATGTTTTAAATATCATACACAAAAATTAAATAATGCCATTAAACATTTGAAAGACAAAAGATATATAACAATAATATGGTTGTGTGTATAGCCATTTGTCTAAAGGTTAATTAAAAATATATTTTATAAATTATACAAACAGCATTGTGACAGTGTTAGAGACAGCAATTACATATTTCCCATGTGTGCGTCTGAGGCCTAACTGTGGGGTGGGGAAGTAACATTGATAGATGAGTCAGCGCTTAGGAGAGGGAAACATCCTATTTCTGTGTATACATCCGGTAGGCAACGCATCTGCAATCGCAGATGTTCATGGGATATTTGCTTCACTATTTCAGTGAATTTTGGTGACAGCTTGCACACAATATAAAAAAATCTAATTGAACCATTCGCTTTATTGCTTCTCCTACTATTGTAGAACTATTGTAGAAAAATGATGAGGCAATGTTGTGTTTAAACATTAAACTTATATTAAGCAATTAGCTATGTAGATGGCTTATATAGGATGTGGATTGTGTGAAAGAGGATATGCTTAAGAAAGGAGTGGATTCAGATATGACGGCTGATAGAGATGTATGGAAGAGCAGCACATACTGTGCAGACCCTCCATAAGGGATGAGGTCAAGTTGACGATGAATTTGAAAATAATAAATTTTGAATTTAAAATTAAAAAAAATATTTAAAAGTTCTTAATTTACTTGAATAAACTTGTAATAAAAATTAGAGAAGGCTTCTGTAGGAATTTTTGCATGCAGGTTGATTTGACTTAACCTATAAATATAACAGACAGGGTATTAATTATACAAAATACAGTTGGTTAGCAGTACTTATGATCTTAAACCATAATTATCAAAAAGGCCAAATACATGATAGTATCAGTTACCTCCACAAATTGCTAGCTTATACTGTGCTAACCAGACTCTTGAAAGGATCTAAAAGTATAAGGTCCTAGGTTGCTTTGTGGATGATCAAGCTGACCACCAAGTAGAGATTCAATGCAGGATAGAACAAGCGCCAGGAATTTTTAAGATGAGGAAACGTCACTGTTATTAAAATTTTAGTTTGAAACTTTGAACCTGTTTTGAATGTTGTTACATCTTTTGCATTCTACTGTATGGCATTGAAGGTTGGACTTAATCTGAAGCCATGTGTAAAAAGATTGAAGTGTTTAAAAAGTGGATTCACAGAAGAATGTTAGGGATATCCTGGAGACAAAGTACAGAATGAACTAGTGTTGCAACGAATGGGGAAAGTGGAAGTTATCAAAACTAGGAAAAAATCAAAAATGCAGTATCTTGGACATATCAAATATTGCGTGGACCGAAATACGAATTGTTACAGATTATTATTCAGGCAAAGATACTAGGGGAAAAAACCCAGGAAGGTGAAGAACATCATGGTTTAAAAATCTTCCCCAATGGTACAACAAAAATATGCGTTCTATATTTAGAGCAGCTATGTCTGAACTTCAAGTTGCTATGATAATTGCCTACTTTCTTTAGCAGATGGCACCAAAAGAAGAAGAAGTAGATTAATTATAGTATAGTATAGTTTGTCTAAATAAAATAGATTAGTTTGACAATTCATTTGACAATTTAGTAGGGATGGGTTGTGTAAAATCAGGCATGAATCTTTTCGTTTTTTTTTTTTAATCTTATAGAAGTTGGAATCGATACATTCATAGTTTTATATATGTATATTTGTTTTTGTTAAATAAAAAAAAACACTGTTTTTTCAAATAAATAATGACCTACAGAACCATTACAAATAATGAGAGTAAATAAATATTAGTACTACAGTCGTACGTAATCGAATTGGATTTCGCTATTATTATTGTCATCGCCAAATTCTCTACACTGTAATCAATACTAGAATTGTCCTCTAAATTAGTAAATAAAAGAAATAGATCGATAAATTTTATTTAAACCGAATATCGATAATGCATAATTGTTCGTCACTACGATACCTGGCCATTAAGTACGGCATTTGCCTTCATCCAAATTTAATTCGATACTTCATATGCGTCATTTTTCAAATTAATCTATTTTATTTAGACAAACTATAATTACTGCTATTAGTTAAAATAAACAGAAGACAGAAATTAGCGATGGCATTCGAGTTGCTTTTCACTCGAGTGATAGACCTGAGCGTTATTTCACGTCACTAGCTACAATCACCTGCGACGAGATGTGTAACGGCACACATTGGGCTGTATCAAGTTGCTCCATAGACAACTTTATCTGATGTTTGAAATGTCTCTTTTTTTGCTTGAATGTGCTTTGT